TCAAAACAAGATATGATATTTTCACCGCTTCTGGGATTTATATCAGTAAAAAAACACTTGTCAACAAGGAAGGGAATATTGTTTTCTTTCTTGGTGACAAGCTTGTTTTACTGAAAACTCAACTTAAAGTACCACGATCCGCTGATGGGGTGGCCGCTACATCTAGCCAGAAGCGTGTTTCTAGTGCAGATAATCAGTGCCGGCCCAAAAAAGTACCTGTATTTGACCACTGTTTTTACGTGGCACAGGCGAATAATCATCATACACCGCCGTCGAAAAGTACTGTTTCATAGCATGTTCAGGGGTCCGAGGACGTTTTGTTGCGAGCGTTTCGGTACACGGACGTTCCGGTGCACGGGCGTTTCAGTGCACTGACTTTTCTCGTGCGCGGACCTTTCTGGTGCACACACTTTTAGGTGCACACACTGAAGTTATCGGTGTATGGCCATTTAAAAATTATGATCATCGTTCGACTGTTCCTAAAATTACATTTCCTTTTTTATTACATAGATTTACATTTTATCTACCCCTTTTGTGGCCTTGAAAATGCAGTCCTGCTAATTAAATATTTTTTCTAAATTAAATTGATTTGATTGCACCTTGAAATTGACGCGTTCCGGAATTCAGACGTAATAATTTAAACACGAAAAATTAGCATACAAGTTCTGGCTAGAGCAAGCACAGAAAAGAGCCCTTTGAAAGAGGTAGGTTAGTTGCACATTCGTTTAACTTCGCGTTTTGCAGTATATAAATTATAGATATTATGATAAAGAAGACGGAGAGGGGGGGGGGGGGGGGGTGCACCGTTTTGGCAGGGCGGTTTTTTTTTTTTTTGTTTTTGTTTTTTGTGTGTGTTTGGAGGGGAGGGTATGCTATCTGTGGCGAGTACCGCGCCAACACGGTTTGCCCCTCTGCCGCAACGCGCCGCGTCGTTTGCGTCGTCGCGATGGTATGAGGAAACTGGAAGCTACACTTCCCTGGCTTCCGAGGCTTGCATTTCCGCAGTAAATGAGAAAAATGAAAAGTAAACGCGTAGACCCTAAATATTAAGAAGTTATACTAACAAAATAAATTAAGCAACATTTTATATTCAGTTGTAAAATAGATTGTTATAAATAAATAGTTAATAGCTGGAAATATCAGGAAAAAGCTTCATCTGTATTTACTGCAGAATTATTCTAGCCAATGGCACCTTTTTCGGCCCGCCACTCCGGACCAGGGTTGCCAGGTTGGGCTATTAATAGCCGAATTGGGCTACTTCGTCAGGCATTTGGCGTCAAAATTTGGCAGTTGGCTATGTGGCTATTTTGGGGCTATTTCAAACCCTAACGCGGCACTTTTTTTCTTTTTTTCTTTGCTTGGTGTAGAGTAGATGTACTAAATAAAGTTCAGCATGGACACAAAGCGACAGTCCACCCTTTCCGGCTTCCCACTTTTGAGGGATTTTCTGCTGAAGATTCGTAGGCGAAGTGAGCTGCCGTGACCTAGACTCAGCTACGACGACATCGCTTTTGAGTTGTGGCTTATTTTTTGCTTCCAAGTTCTTTGTGCTTTCTACTGGCGTCTCTTATTTTCTCGAGTTTCCCACCATCCACCTACAGGAGACACCTCATCCGAGGAAAAATTATACTAAAGGCAACTCAAGACATCCTGCGGAACTTGATGTCGCCCGATAACACGTGCTGTACCGGGTATAACAAAGGAGGCTTTTCCGCGAAACATGGAAGTTTCTTAAAGTACAATGAGCCATAACAAAAGACAACAGATTTGGGGCAATGAATATTCCGAACATGGCCAAGATGATATTTTGTGATAAAAGTGATATTTTGTGATCAAAGTGATATTTTCACTTTTAAAATTTAAAGATCAAAAGCGAGCGGACACGAATTAGCCGCTCTCAAGTCTGAGCAAGCAAGCAAGTGCGAGTCTCAATTTAGGACCGGTGATTGACAGTTTCCGGCTCGTCACTATACTCCATTTCATCGAGCACGGCTACGCGGGAATCGGAAGGTGAGTGACCTTTTGGAAGTTAGGCGTAGGGCTGTTCTCAGGGACAGTGGACAATTGTGTTTTTGACGCCTGAGAATGTGAGGGCGGTGGAGCTGCTGTGTCGTCGGTGTGGACCTTACGCCGCGCCGTCCAGGACGGGTACGGTGTCGCAGGACTGCTTGGTCTCTCGGGTGCAAGCGAGTTCGGCTAGACCTCAGCTATGTTCGGGCCGTGTGTGTTTTTCCCCTTATATGCGTTCCTCAGTCTCAGGCTTTTTTAATCATAAAGTAGACCAAGGGATTTGCTCTCCAAAGTTCAATCGTAATTTTTTTTTGCGTGTTTTGCTTACACATAATTGGCTTTGATCGAAGCTACTAATGCCTGTTTCACTTCTAGTGCAAACGAGGACGAAGCTACTTGCACAAGCATGTTCCCCTCAACTTTTGCTTGCACTGCACGCTCGCGCGTGCAGTGCAACGCTACATATATCCTACTTCTGAAAAATGCATGCACGTCTGCCCTCTTGTAGAGCACATTGTATTCCAATCACTGCAAAGTGCACCCAGATGATTACGGGGTTTACAGTATGATGCAATTTAAGAACATAATTTCAACATGGATGTGTTCAATTTCCTTGGTACCTCGTCGTACTTTGGATGCACACCATAGATGGCAGGAAATGGCCTACTGTGGATTTGTGGGAAAGAAGGTGTGCAAACACATTTAATGCTCTGCTTTTGTATTTGTGTGGCACTCAATTTTTTATAACAAATTTATTTTTGACTTTTTATTGAACCTATTTTTTGTGTATTTTCAGGAAAGGCCAGTGAGCAGGCATTAACGGAGCCAATCAACCAATAAATTCCCCTGGTAATTTCTACCATGAAATGTGCTATCCTTTTTTACTACTAGTCAAGTCGTGTACAAGGCAAGTTTGAACATTGCTATATGTGCCTATTTGTTTCCAGAGCCGTGAAGCAACATATTTTGGTAATTATAGCTACAAAATTACAGTTCAAAGGCTTGTTTTTTGTGCTTATTTTTTTTAGTATGAAGCCAGTGTTGTATAGGCATCTTTAATATTCGCCTCAAGATCACACTGTGTCGCAAATATGGTAAAATTTACTTAATGAAAGTTGTCTGCACTCATCCCTTCAAATGGTTTTGTTAGGGTCACGAGATGTAGGAATGAGCTCTCCACGGCAAAGACTACACTCTGTTACAAAAAAAAAAAAAAAAGCGCGAAAATTAGACGACGGACGAGTGAGAGGAATGTACACGACAAGCGCTGACTTACAACTGAATTTTTATTAGGAAGAAACATGAAACCCCCTCAAACCACCAAAACACGAAACACTGCCAATCTTATCAATGTGATTACAATATTGCTTCGTAAGAACACCGTTATAAAGTAATATTGTAATCACATTGATAAGATTGGCGGTGTTTCATGTTTTGGTGGTTCAAGGGTTTCATGTTTTTCCTAATAAAAATTCAGTTAAGTCAGCGCTTGTCGTATACATTCCTCTCACTCGTCCGTCGTCCACTTTTTGAGCTTTTTTTGGTTGTAATGCATCACCAACTCGCCCAAGTTACCACTCTTATATTACACTCCGCTTCACCATAACTTGGCAAAGCGTGAAAGCTATGGCCCCCGTGAGCCAATTAAAGTCACAGAGCAAAGTACATGACAGCACTCCACGGGAGGAATGCACTAAGTGCTAAATTGTCATGCGACTCGCTCTGACTGTCTTGCGGGGCTGCAGCGTACGCTCTTTGTCATGTTATGGTAAAACAGTTAGTACCTTGCACTATGCCAGTCTAAAAGGTTTAAATGTGTCATGAAATTTATCTGCACCCATACTTTCTTCAACTTGTTTTGTTAGGAAAGAATGCGGTGTAGCAAGGGCTGTTCCCCACACCAAGGAGTAGCACCTTAGACCCTGCCACTCAGCTTCAGGTAAGTACGTTCCGATTCTGGTGTGAAAGTTGCGTGCACTCATCTCTCCTTCATCTTGGTGCAGAAATGACCTTGCCATGCCAGGGACGAACACCTTACACTACACTTCTCAGCAACAGGTAACTTCCAAGTGTTGCAAAATTTACCTTCACTTTGCTCTGAAGGATGTGCTGGCGACGTCCGAATATCTGAGCGGATATCTATCGGATGTACAATGGACATCCAGTGGTTTGTTGGGTCCTTAAAGTTCACAAGCACACACCTATGCTGGATGTATCAAGCCAGATCCTGTGAAGGATTTCTTCCCAGTGATTCTGAACAACTGTTGAACGCACATTTTCTTCTATAGCTCTTGTCTCCGCGCAGCAGAAATCTTGCCTCCATAGGCTCGAGCGCAGTTTTCAAACACAGATCTATAGGCTTCAAGGCTCTGGATACACCGGCACACTCCTGATACCTGTTTAGGGAAACTTCTGCAAGTACGGCGCAAACCTATGGGAACTGCACAACCACCGAAAAAGAAGCCTCTTAAACCTCTAGTTGTATTGCCATATATCCACGGGGTTACACATCGCCTGAAAAAGATCGCTGGCCGACATGGAGTACAAGTCGTCTTCTGAGCTCCCAACAAGGAATATGCCGCAAGGTTAACGGTGTGGCCGACAACAACGAAAATAACACGCGCGGCACCGCACACGGGACACAATACGCCCCATGTGATATCGCTGTTGTTTACAACATTCCGCTGTCATGAGGAAAATGTTACATCGGAAAAACTGGGCACTGTATCAATGACCGCACCAGAGAAAACGCCGCTTTATATTATATTTGGAGCCATTCATTATTATTTTTTTTTATTCCAGGAAGTTGTTAGCAAGAATCTATATTGTGATGTCTATCATCCATGGTTGTCACACCGTGGTATACTCCTATCGCTGAAAGTTAGGAATAGCTAATACTACAGAGTCTGCATGACTACACGGTGAGGCATTGTTAAAAAAAGAAAGAAAAGAAAGTCCTTCGTCAGGCAACTTTTTAATGCTTCAGAAGGCTAGTCGTACCAGTCAGTTTCCTTTTTGACCTGCGAAAAAGAAACAACCTGTTCATTCAATGAAAGTGTCGAATTCTCGTTCCGCCATTGACCTGTTGCTCCTCGGACGGCAGGAAGTCGTTCCGGATGCAGAGGCGGCGACGCATCTCGTCGGTCGACTTGGACTTGAGCATGTTGGCTGCGACCTTGCACGCTGCGTCCAGAAGGTCCTTGATGTCCAGGTAGTCAGCCACCTGGACGGGTACAGTCACCGGCGAGGTTAGCACGAACGCCCGTCGGTACATGACGCGGGAGTTTTCTCTGGAAATCGCGGTATACATACACTCACGGCTGCAGGTTAACACATTTGTATTTGACTGTTCCGAGTGCGTTGAGACCTTTTGTAACCGCTAGAACACGGCCCCAATCTGTCGTGGAGGCCTAACTTGAACACTATTGACCGGCGTATATATAGGGTGTCACCAGTGTTGAGAAGTATGCTTTAAGTACATGGTACTTAAAATACTATTTTAAGGGGGTTTAAACACGTGTACTTTACTTCAAGTACAATCTCGAAATATGTACTCGTACTTTAATTTAAAAGACAAAAAAAATGCTGGTACTTTCCGAGCAAAGTAGAACTCTCGACTTCAAACTACATTCCCAAAATGTGGTCTTGTTAAATTTGTATCACAAAATGATGATCTGCCAACTCTGAAGCCATTTGACTTTATCCATTATTTGCTACCACTTCCGAAAAGAAATAACTGATGCTCCGCTATTACCCCTTGGGCAACGCATACCAGATAAAAAAAACTGTGTAGGGGAATGAAAGGGAATCATTAATAATTGTGTCAAAAACTATTTGCAATTTAAAAGTATAATGTATTTATAGCACTTGACTCCAAGTACATTGCACCTGGTGTACTTACTACTTTACTTGAAGTGCATAACCTCTCATTTAGTTTGTGCTTTACCTGAAGTACTTTTTGAATGTACTTTACCCAACACTGGGTGTCACAAGTGAACCTTCCCTTCCAAAACAAGCCGAGATAATCGACGCCTGCACATAGAAACTTCAACGTTCACCAAATATGCACCGAGCAGGGGGGCTAAGCTCGGCACGGAGAGATTAAGGCGAGTTCTCCGCCGAACTCGCCGCCCGCCGCGATTGGTCGGCGCCGTGCATGACGACACGCGCCGTCTCTCCCTAAATCGTTACGTCAGAACTGAGGGTTTGAGGCGGTCGGAGAGTGGCATATTCGGAACTCGCGGCGAGATGCTGTGACGTCATTGTGACGTGGCAAAAGCCGCCGCGGAGAGGAAAAGCTTGCCGGCTCCGACCTTGCCGAGTTTGGGCGAGTTGGGCGCGAGATCAGGGAGAAGCGTGCAAAATGGCAGCGTTTTCGTTCGTGTTTCGCCGTCGGCGTAGGTATTTAAGCCACGCCACTGTGTTTGACATGGACGACGTTGATTTTCAACTACACTATCGCCTCTCGAAGGACGTGGTAAGGTGGCCTGTGCGATGAACTGCGTGGCTAACCGGGCTTGACGCGATGGAGCCGTGAATGAACAGTCGCCCCCGTCGCGAATCCTACAAATAAAATCTACAAAGTGAATCCTACGAACAAAAGTGTTTTTACGATAACCAGGAACGCAATTTATCATTACCTACAGGCTTTTATAATTATTGTGATGGTTTTCTGCGCTGCGTAGATGCAAGAAAAACGCACTAGATAAAATTTAAACCGAATCAGAGGGTACAAGAAAAGCAATGAACATGAATGGCGCAGACTAACAACTGCGTAGTCTCTTTCTCATCGTTTTCCCTCCACACCATATTTTGACGAACAAATTGGTCGTTAGTTTTTCATACAGCAGGAGAACATGCCAGAGCATGGCGACATTGTTGCCTCTAGATAAGCAATTTAACCAGTGGAGTACAACCGCTAGCCTGGGGTCTTTAACGCGCACCACGCAGCAGTGATACACGACCGCACGCCGGTACGATGCTCATCCAGATCGACACGGGCCGGGGGGGATTAAACCAGAGATGGCAAAATTACTTTCAAAAAGTAATTAAATTACATTTCTAATTGCTTTTCTGAAAACTGCCAAATAGTAATTAAATTACATTAGACATTACCACAGACTAAATGTAATCACATTACATTACAATTACTTTCCAGAAGTAATGAAATTACTTTGAAATTACTTCGACATTACTTTTGAATACCTTGAGGCAGTAATTCGTGCTCATTTTATTTACCGTATACGCCATCACAGTGTTCCCAAAACAAGCCCTCGTTTGCCCTCCCCCCATCCCCCCCCCCCCCCAAGCGTGTGCAGGAACCAGATCTGGGAGAAGCGAGGCGCCGCGCATGCGCAATGCCGACGGCAGCGCCACCGCGGTGATGTGACGTCAAAGAGCTGGGTTGGTCTATGTGTACCAAAACTCATATCTTCCTGTTTACACCGCAACAACCTTATCTGCCTCAAAGTGAACCATATTGAACAGTGGTTTTGCTGGCGCACACGGCATAGGTGTTAAACATGATGAACAGCTTCTTTAGTTGTGACTCAGAAAGACAGTCGACTCACCGGTTTCGCTGTTCATTCAACGGTGAAAGTTTTTACTAAAAGGTTGATGTGTTTCTGTCTACCTGATTTAGAAGTTGTTGTCCCAGTCAGTTTTTTCTTAAGTCGGGCAGTGGCTGCTCGTTTTTCGTCGTCACGTGAAAGTTTCCCTTCCGCCGGGGACCCAATCTAATTCTATTCTTCTAAGAGCCTATTCTCGATCATTCCTTTCAAGGAGAAACTTTTTTATACACCCGAAAAGCCCAAGTTTTTGTGCATTGCCACGCAAAGGGCCTCGATAATTGCTAAGCAGAAGCGTCGCCAATTGAGGAATGACGCGAGCTTCCTAAATTGTGTACTTTTTCCACCAAACGGGAAGGGGGAGACGATATCTGCCTGTAGGCTTAAGCACGAAACACATGCGCGTCAAAACTATCCTTTCCGACGTGCGAACTGCCGGAACGATGTTTGGAGGCGAGAGTTTTCGACGCTCTCCGGTGCTACGAAAACCCTCGCCCCCAAACGTCGTTTTGGCAGTTCACACGTCGGATCGGACAGTTTTGACGCGCATATGTTTCGCGCTTTATTCCCGAATTAACTTCCCAAGGGAAGGCAGCGAGGCATACCGCGAGCGGCACTTGCTTTGCTCGAGGACGCACGAAACGTTCTGGGGCTTTGACAAGGCATTTGCATTTATCTATTTATTCCGGTTGTTTGTTGTTCACAATGGTCGAAGCTTACGGTTTGACCTTGCTCTACGAAAGGACAAGGCTGCGTATTTGTTTGTCCTGTTCTCTCAGGTTTTAAATTATGTTTAACTCACTGGTGATGTGCCCGTCGCCTTGTAGCCTATGGGCCGTTCATCCCTAAGCTGACGCACACTCAGCTTAGAGATGAACGTTGGAAACTACGCGTTTGTTGGAGCAGTCACACGTCTGTCGTTCGCCACGTAACCACGCTGTCGTTCATACCCACACGCAGAGAAAGGGACGGGGCAGGTTATTAAAGGAAGGTGTTTGATCGGTTTTGGTTAGCTAGCAGCTCCCACCGCACTGTCAGCTAGGGATAAACGAAGTATAGTATCGTCCCGATGACGCGACGCCGTGAATCTGTCGTGCGCCTGGAGTTCGTAAGCTGTTGCCTTCTAGCAATTTTTACACGTAAGTTTTTCTCCTTCTGCTTTCCAGCCCTCCTTTGTGCGTCTGCCCAGCTCTTCGTACACAGCCTTGCGCTCAGGTTGCCGTCGTTTATTTCTTTCATTGCACTCTCACAACATTTCACGCTGCAAAATAATTTTCTTTTCTTTTCTAAAGCTTGCAAACGAACTGTCTGAAAGTAATTCATTACATTACTAAATTACTAGCCTAGAGAAGTAATTCATTACATTACTCATTACTTCAAAAAGTAATTTAATTACTGTAATTCCATTACAGTAATGTCATTACTGCCATCTCTGGATTGAACCCACGATCATGGGTTCTGGAGCGCGAGGTTTCGCTCCACGTGCACCCTATTTCGAAAAACATTGTGGCTGTGTTGGGGAGAAAGATGAAAAAGAAATTATACAGTTGTAAGCTCTGTTTCACCTTGTGTTGTACCGCAGAAAAGGCTACAAGCGCGAGCCCCTTGCTCGGCGGCACAAGCTCTCGTGCGCCAAAGGCAGCTGCCAACGCCCTGAGCTCGCGCTTCTAGCCTGCACTGCGGCACAACATAAGGTGAAACGGAGCATAGTCTGCGCCATTCCTGTATGTTGTTTTTCGTCTATTCTCTGCTTTAGTATAAATCGTTATCAAGTGCGTTTTTCTTGCATCTACGCAGCGCAGCAAACCATCGCAATGTCTAACCAAGTAGCAACACCACCTGGAATACGTCGAGACCGGTTATAACGAAGTCGGTTATAACGAAATAGCGGCTACAGTGAAGCTATCACGATTTCCCCTTGCCTTTTACACTTTGTTAACCGAAGTCGGTTATAACGAAATAGCGGATACAGTGAAGTGATTTCCAATTCCTGTTGACTTCGTTATAACCAGTCTCGACATCAAAACCTGTGAGAGGCCTCATCAACCTTCACATAATGCCTTCAATGGAGTCGACTCAGCAACGGGGCCCGCGCCCGACGCCGAGCGTCTTTCCACACGTTGATTGGAGACGACTTCCTGCGGGCGAACGCTAACGCTACGCTCGTGTCCAGCGTGCCTGCGCTCAATCTCAATGCGATGACGTCGAAGCGCTAGTGCACGGGCTTTGATTATTCCAGGTGGTGTTGATTCACTAAGCCTACAGTGGAAGCTTCGAATATCAGTGACTGCGCCGAGGGTGAGCCACGGGAAACAAGTCCAGGTGTTGAAGGAGGGTAAATAATTTACAAAAATATCGTTATGATGCAAATAAATGCAAAGGTGCAAGTGAGCTGGACAAGAATGACGAAAATATTCCCCGGAGAAGGGCAACAAGAGGGACAAAGAACAAACGCAAATCTCGGTCGCTCGCCAGTCACCTGGCTGTGTTTGGAGATTTGCGTTTGTCCTTTGTCCCTCTTGTTTTCCTTCTCCAAGGATTATTTTCGTCATTCTTGTCCAGCTCGCTTGCACCTTTGCATCTAATTGCATTATAATTATAACCTTAAATTCCAAGCTTCACCCTTGTTGGTGCTAGACTGGTGGCAGCTGATAAAACCCATTTGCTCTACTGACGTCTAACCCCCGGTTAGCTCGGTTGGTAGAGCGCTCCACCTGTAATGGAGAGGTCCCGGGTTCGATACCTGAACCAGGCGGATATTTTCCGTCACTCACCAGTCACCTAGCTGTGTTTGCAGATTTACGTTTGTCCTTTGTCCCTCTTGTTCCCCTTCTCCAGGGATTATTTTCGTCTTTCTTGTCCAGCTCGCTTGCACCTTTACATTTAATTGCATTATAATTATAACCTTAAACTGCAAGCTTCACCCTTGTTGGTGTTAGACTGGTGGCAGCTGATAAAACCCGTTTGCTCTACTGACGTCTAACTCGTGGTTAGCTCAGTTGGTACAGCGCTCCACCTGTAATGGAGAGGTCCCGGGTTCGATACCCGGACCAGGCGGATTTTTTCGGTCGCTCACCAGCCCCCTAGCTGTGTTTGGAGATTTGCGTTTGTCCTTTGTCCCTCTTTTTCCCCTTCTCCAGGGATTATTTTAGTCAAAAATATTGTTTTGTTTTGTTTTTTGTTTTGTTTTGCGGATGGCGTTTGGAAAGCTGCCACTTCCTTACCGCGGAGTTATAATAGCATAATGCTTTAAAAATGACGTCAATGATTTGTAAAAATGGAAGTGATGAAAATAGTTCAGTCTATGCTCAATCCTGAAATAATCTCATAAATTTTCTGACGCATCGACAGGATTATCAATAGTAAATAGTAATCGGTTTATCTTTTCTCTTTTTTTTTTTTTTTACTGATTTGCCCGCGACGTGATTACACCGCGCTGGTGATTATGCCTACCTGTCCTTGCCGAGAAAACATACGATGATACGAAATGTCTGCTGCAGAAAATATGCACGCACTTATCTGGGAGATAGGCCACCACAGGCCACTAATGTGACGTCAATGCAAGCCGTATTATAAAGCAGAAAAGTGATTTGGCTCGAGACTATTACACCAGACAACTTACCAGGATAATCTGGAACAGCGTTGCCTGGTCTACGTTGAAGAACTCGGCGTCCCACGAAGACACTGTGTGCCTGTCGTCGTCGATGACGATGAGCATCTCGTCCTTGTGGTACGTGGCCCACTGGATCAACTTCTTGAGGATGGCCGAGCTCACGTTCTTCAGCGGAATCACCTCGTTTTCGTCCTCGCTCATTCCGTTCAGGTCTAAAGGAGCGCGACCAGCATGGTCAAAGGGCACGAGCGAAGTCAGCGAAAAACCAGTTGTAGTGACCGTCTTCCTTATACGGAGCAAAACAAGGAGAGGAGCGCGGCGCGCTCCTCTCCTTAGCTAACCTTCGCCTCTACCTGTGGGTAAAGGCGAAGGTTAGCTAATTTTGCCTCTACCCACTGTTCAAACGCCGAGCGCCGGCGTCCGGCGTTCCAACGTGAGACACTGCGTGAGAAGGAGACGTCGACGCTTTTGTTTGCTCTGATTGGAGAGAGTCAATGGGTAGAGACAAGACAGCTATAGCCTTTGCATCTATACCCCTCAATCATTCCAGTAAGACGTTCTGACATTTCCGCGCGCACTGATCTCCTTCTCTCCCTCGGTTTCTTTCTGCATAGCATATTTTCAAGATTCGCGGAATATTAATTGGTTCCAAGAAGTAGGTTTTTTTTCCCCCTTGACTACCACGACGTTAAATTCGTTTGTATATAGACGCTTTCAGGCAGCATGTGCATGGGCGCCGCCATAACCGACTTTCAGTATCTGTTTCCTCTTATTCCGTTCGCTTCACTTCATCACTGACACAGCAGGACAGGTTCTTGCCACTTTAGGTGCTATTTAGGTGCTACTGTGTCCTTTGCCCTAGCATAGGCCTTTGTGGAGACTAGTCAACGCTCGCTTCAGTGGCTCGGCATTTCGGTGAGACAAGAGAAGGTAGGCAATGGCGGCTCAATCTGACGCGTGTTGAAAGCGTCTATATAGACAGCTGATCATACACAGAAAAATAACTGCACTTTCCCTGCTGGCAATTTTCAAAGCTTGCTTTTGAACCTATACTTTCGCGGCTTCGTTTTTAGACCACCAGGCGCTGTCAATAACTCATTCGCTCGAAAAAGCTGACGAGAAAACCTACGACCACAGATGTTTGTTCTAGCCGCTAGCTGCTGTTGATTTCACAGAAGGCGGCAATGTTGCCGGAATTCTGCTTCCGGTGCTCGCACCGTACGCTCGCATAATCATGCTCTCCTCAGGAGCGGCGAAAACGGCCCCGGGCGGCCGCTGTTCTTTTGTTGTCGATGGCGCGTCATCGTCCGGCGTGTACAAGGTGGTCCCTCCACATATGCGTACAGGATCTACGTGTTTAAACTCTGCGCTCCTGCACTGCGACCTGAAGGATCGCCCGTACCGGATTGAGGACTTCCGAGAGGAACTCAAACGTATTGCCGTCTTGAGCGACATCGTAGCGCTCAGCGCTTTTCCGACGAATCATGTGTGGATAGCGACGCTTCGGACTTCGGAGGCGGACGCCTGGTGAGCGGCAGGGAGTTCGTCGTGAAGAACCTACGCTGCGTCACCATCGACCCGAGCACAACCGAGGTACGTGTGCGTTTGCACTGCGTTCCCTTTCACGTACACGACGACGCCGTGCGTACACTTTTAGAACCGTACGGCAAGGTGACTGAAGTCGACCGGGAGATGTGGCGAGTCGATGGGGTCCACGGAATCGAATTAACGACGCGTTTTGTTCGCATGACGCTGAAGAGTGGCCTCACCCCTGACGACATGCCTCACCAGCTGCGGTTTCACGGCGCGAAGACCCTCATTGTCATACCAGCCAGAGTGCCCGTATGCCTGCGATGCAAGCGTGCCGGGCATATCAGGCGGGAGTGTCGTGTGCCGAAGTACTCACAGTGCTTTCGCTTCGGCCACGATAAAGAAGAGTGTATGAAGACGTACGCTGGCGTCACCTAGGTATAGGCGCTGGAGGAGCATACGGCGTTCACGATGGACACTGAAGAGGCCGGCCGAGAAAGCCGCGCGTGGTTTGGGGTTCGACGCCCCACCGTCTACAGAGCAACAAGGGAAGCCTGCCGGAGATGACGGTTCCGGGGAAGGCGCCGTGGAGACAAAACCAGACAAGTCAGCCCCTCACGTTCCGGAGCCTGCTTCCGGTCCCCCGGCCTCTGCCCCCACATCGCCTGAGGGCTCCAAGACCCCCACGGCCCGTCCTTCGACGACCGAAAAGACCTCCGAGCGCCACGACGACATGGACGAAACCACCGACTCAACCAAGCGCGACCTCGAGGTTACGCCCCCGAAGCCCGACACGACGCTCAACCCTAACCCTTGGTGGCGATTCGAGAAGAACAAGCGGGGCCGTTTCAGGGTGGTGCTGAACGCACCCTGCGACTCCGAGTGAGGCGGCAACACCTGGTCTCCAGAACTGGTGGAAGAGCGACAAGGCAAGCGCTGCATCATAGCCTTCATGATTTCTTCGCTCAATTCGGCCATTTCGGTTGCAACGCGAAACGTTCGAGGTTTTCACACGCGCAAGAAGCAATGCCAGGTGCAGCGCCCGTTGCAGACACAGAAACCCGATTTCTTAGCGTTGCAGGAAACCAAGATGGCCGAGGAGGAGCAGGTTTTTGGCGCAGTACAGCCTTTCTTACACTTGTATATATGAGGTTTGTGTCACTACCCCTGTCAAAGTCTCGGGCGTTTTTTTTTTTTTTTTTTTGAAGAGGTCATTGCCCTTATTGGAGTTGGCGGTTACAACACACACAGAGGAACGGTTTATTACGTGCGATTTTTTTTTTTTCGACAGTCCCCTGGCGGCTTATCTGCATATATGCCCCCAGTACAGTGAGAGAGCGTGTTTCCTTTTTTTTTTTTTCTGGCTTGGGCCGATATGTAGACTGTGATAGAACAGTCATGCTGTGTGGTAATTTTAACTGTGTTGTTCGAGCGATTGATAGAACGCCTATCAGGCAACGTACCGATAAAGATATTACCGTTCTCAGCAATCTGCTCGGGGACTTCGACTTGATAGACGCTGGAACTGTGCGGAATGAAACCTCAGAGATGCATCTCACACATTTCCAGGCGTCATCGCATACGCGGCTAGACAGAATTTACGTTTCGGCGACACTGGCAACTATTCTAACGAAGTATCGGGTCATGCGGTTGTTGTTGTTTTTTTCGATCACTGCTTGGTGTCGACAACGGCTGGTGGAAGAGCACTGTTTAATTAAGGGCGCGCTTTGATACAAAATAAGTTATATTTTGTTCTAAGGCAGCTCGAACCCATAGGGAGAAGTAAATAGTTGACTAAATAGTAAGTTTAGTACCCCTGCCACACGGAAAAGATAACATATTTTCATTAAATGGTATGGGATTTAATCAGGTCTCGGTCTTGAGTGATTATACGAGCGTCGCAAGCTGATTTGTCGACCCCATATATTAGTTCGAGAGAAATTACATTAATTTTGCCATGTGGCCGGGGTATATTGCAAGAATTCAGTGACTGCACGTAATAACATCGCTTACATGATCGTAAGTGACACTTGTCTAGCCGTGTCCGCGTTGACTACGTCTACCTGATTTTTAACTGATCTGTTTTGCTGTGCCCAATCGCTGCGTGTCTCGCCATTTTGTAAAAGTATTTCTGTATAAAACATGCAATCCTACATCAATAATTGCGTGACTCAATATTTTCGACTTATTTACGGTCTTTCTTGGTCACATTTTCTATAGACGTCTTATACACATACCTCGTGCCATTTCGTACCGATAATTTGGCGGTGTAATGTTTTGCCCGTGTAATAAAGTGTGTTCTAAACCCGTTGCTATGTGCAGCTTTCATTTTAGCTAAAAACACACACGTATGTGACTAAAAGCGCGTTACGACGGTCGATCCACGCGCGTTCCCTTCGATTCGACGCGCGCCCCCGATGGCCTTCCTTCGCAACGTCACGAGAAGAGCACTCCGCCTTCTCTTTTAGGAGATGTTGAGCTGTTGAACCGAAGCGAGGAGGAGAGAAGCAAGGCCCCTTCCCCTCATTTTCAAATTTTCTAGGAGGACAATGACGTCGTAGCGCTCGCTTGATAGCGCCGTTCTCTTCCAAAAGTACAGCCATCCGTTAGAGATATCGATGTACGAGTGGTGTCTTGGAGTTCGTAGCGCCCCGTTCAACGCATTTTGCGAAATCCAAATTTGGGATCAGTATCCCTTTAAGTCGTACATTTATCGTATTCAAATTTTGCGAATGTAGGTTCTCTAGAGAGAAAAAAAATGTCAGACAAAAAACTTTTTTTCCTGTGCGTGGGACGAAAACGGTTCGGTTGGCGTTGCTACTCGCATACGGCACAAATACTTAAAAGTTTCTTAGAGATGACCAACCTAAAGCAGATCCAAGCGTATGCGATACGACACTATTTGAGTGCGCTGTTCAGAGCGCATGCTCAGAACGAGCTCACATCTATAGGGAGTATTCACTGGCGGCCATAGCTGTGTGCTCGACTGCTGAGCGCGTGCTGACGACGAGCTTCCACAGTTCTTTTGCAACGTGCGTTCTGCACCGTCAAGATTGTCGGCGTTAGCAGCCTATTAATGTACGCTCGTTCTGAGCATGCGCTCTAAACATCTCCCTGAAGTATGGCGTCCAGGGCAGCTAGGTTGGACATTACACGTACGTCTTAAAAGGTCACGGAAGTGACGTATTGGAGTCTGATTGGCGGAGGCTAGTGCCACTAAATAAGCTACGCTTCAGAGTAACGACGCTTACCCATATTGTGGCTTAAAATCGTGGTTGCCAGTTACCTGAAGCTTTATCTGGAATCAGATGAAACGTTTTTCCGTCCTTCCGTAAATATTTAAACAGTTGGCGACATAGCAAAAAAATATTACATGAGCTTCCTAACACCAAATCTAATGCTGAGGAAGTCGTACTTTTGGATCATGGTGATCGGCACTCGCGTCTGCTCTGCACAAGCACCATGATGGCAGCGCCCACACGAATATCGGAGTACAGAGTGCCGATATTCTAAGCGTAGCTCATTTTGTGGGTCTAATGGAGGCAATTACCTCCACCTATCAGACGCCATTACCGCACTTTCGTGACCTTTGAAAATGTACATGTAAATGTCCAACCTACAGCCCTCCAGGAAATACCCCCATAGCAGCCTCATCTCGCGGCGCCCTTACAAAAAATATTTCAGGCAGTCCATAAAAATCCTATCCGCATTTTAACGACCCTTTCAATTTTCTATATATTTACGTCGTATCGACAATTTTCAATATACTTTGTATAAACTTTCTTTCAACCGAAGTCTATATAGCACAGACGATAGAAATGCTAAAGAATTCCTATCACAACGTCTCAACACAGTTTTTGTCACCATATTTCTATAAAATTTCTATAGACTAGAATCGATAGCATAATAAGATGCAGTGCGGGGAGGCGACATCACGCCCAGTTAGAGACCCCTTGCGGAGGCTGTTTTTTTCGACGGTGTTAAGGACTGCTCATGTTTAAAAGTTCAAATTTTAGGCAGTGCGGACTATCTACGTGTGCAAACTATACAAGATTTTTGTTTTTCAGTATCGTTGATTAGGAGGAGACGAGACGGATTTCGTGAATAAAAGAGTATGTTAAAATCGTTTATGTACAGGGTGTCACAAAAGAAAATGTACACGGTCTTTTTTACCGCAAAAATAAACTAGGCGTCGCGGAATGCTCATTCTCCGCCCAAAGGTAGCGCTAGAGGTCACAACCAGATGCCAAAGTTTCAGCCCGATCCGATACATTAATGAAAGTTATAAGTGAATTTCTGATAATTTCAATGGGAAAATGGCGGCCGACGGAGTTTGTGAATACATGGGGCTCTATGGCACCAGAAATTTTCAGAAAATCACGCATAACTTTCGATGAACTTATCGGATCGGGCTGAAACTTTGGCATCTGGTTGGGACCTCTCGCTACCTTTGGGCAGAGAATGAGCGTTCGGCGATGCCTATAGTTTATTTTTCCGGTGAAAATAAAACCCTGTAAATTGTTTTAATTGTGACACCCTGGATATTAAAGGCTTCTTTGTGAGCAGAGGAAGCAGACATTGATCTAGGTATGCCGTACATGAGATTTTTTGTGTCGACTGAGCATCAGGTGCGGGCTATGTACCGGGTGCGGATTATCTAAGCAAAAACTTGTATTTTTTACCCCAATTTTGCCTCTGCGGACTATACACGGGTACAGACTGTAGTCCAGAAAATACGGTAATTATCGCCCCTTGCAATGCTTTATAGATTGAGATGCAGTTCATCGACCCTTGTGAACCACCATAGCCTCCTCTATACTCACAAAGCCTGGTAGTTCTACGACGGAGCCAGAGAGTGCCCAGTCGCAGATTCGGAGCGCGAGGACCTGGTAGCACAGAGCGTTTCTCGGGGAGCCTGTAGTCAGCGCAGAGCTTTTGCAGCGGCGAGGACCCGAGACATGGTTTTCAAGCCTCGACTTCCGAGATCCCGAAGCTCGGGATCTCGGAGGCCATCTTCAAACCCGACGAGAAAAGAAGCGGTAGCGCGAGGAACGCGAGGAGCACGAGCGGATGTTCCATCGCTCGGGACCAGTGTGTTTTGGCGTCTCGCCGCAGCGGGGCGCCCGTTACATTCCTCTCCTCTCATTCGTTGTCTGCCGCTCTACCTTTTTCACTTTCGGCAGCCGCGTCTCGTAGCGATCTGCCAGGCTTTGTCAGTATAGAGGAGGCTATGGAACCACGTTTTGAATAAATTGAAAGAAAACAACATACTTGTAATCTTTTTTTTTTTTTTTTGTCTTCTGGGATGGTCCTCGTTTAAGTGATTGTCTTTCAAGTGTAGGGTATATATAGCGGTGGAGCACGTCAGCACTACCGAATTACTAGAGTTATGAGTGCTCTGTCGCGAGTGTATTTGTAATGTCTGCGTATACGCACACGTGAAGTGGTGAGTGCATATGTTTCCGTAAATACATCATGACAAACCTAAACTTAATATTCAGAATATTTTTTTGTTGTTGCGAAATCTGATCTATCATTGCTGGTAAGAAAATAGTAACGAAGCTAATATGTCTATCTGTTTTTTGTACAATTTTCATACAATTTCTATGCAATCCATATACACTAGGTTTTATAGAGTCTACAAAAAAAGTTACCAAAAAGCTATATAGCCAACGAACAGAAATATATTTATAGCCTTTATGCACTATTTTCTATAAAAATATGTAGAAACAACGGGGAAAATATTTTTATAAGAGCGGTTTCCTTCCATATTTCGTCCGCTGCATATTTTTTTCTTGCATTTTATCCAAAGACTTCACTAACTAAATTTGAGTATGATAAATACCTAAGTACATGTTTATGAAAAGCTTCCGTTAACTCCATTCATTGGCTTATCTATACGATTTTATTTTCAAGCCGAATAGCGCTCGGGAACACCTTGTTACCACAGTGACGTGGTCACCGAATAGGCAAAGACATATATTTTTCTCCGGCAGAGGTAACTGCTTACCCAACAGCATGGTCCTCAGTGTGCCAAAGACCATCGCAGTCTGCAGGTCCACTTGGAAGACTTCTCCTTCGCAGCTCTGAAGCTTTATGGATGCCATCTGGCTCTGCCTCGACAAACCTGGCATCGAAGAATCTCGCCGCTGCATTATGCGCTGTCAGTGCCGACGCTGCTGGGGCTTCCGCGACAGTGCACTTCTTCTTTGATTCTTTGAGCGCCTACAATGAAGTCACGAAGAGGCCATATACCAGCGGCGTTTCAAGAGGACGTGCCTATCATGCATTTCCACAACTCGTCTTTATCAACGACCGTCTTATTTGCAGGTGTTCTCATCAATGAAACAATAACACGAAAGGATATGTTGCATAATCTATTTTACAAGTTGGCTTTAGTATTGGTAAAGGCACGAGCGCGCGGTTTCGTAAAGCGCGCGCTTTCTATGCGCGAGTATTCGTGCACACGCAGCATTTTACAAGGCCACGCCTTCGTGACCACCCCTTTCACAGTGCTAAGGGCCTGAGGTCAATGCAAGCATGGAGCCCCGACTGGTGCCCCATGCGTGCAAGCACGTGCAGCGTGCGCGTGAACGGAGCTTTGACAAGCTTGCAATAACACGGGCGTGCCCGCACGAGAAGAAACCTGGCGATATCGCGACTCCGGCAAAACGGACGACACCTAGCGGAAAAACACTCAGCTGGTCCTTTCGCGATTTCCGCTCGTCTCTTGTGGCTTCCGTGATAACTTGTTTTCGGTGGTTTGCGCGATAGGACTACAGTGTTCTAGAGGTTGTAGTGGCAAGAGCGGCGCCCGCTTACAATGAAGCGCGTGAAGACGGTCGACGTAGATACCGTGAGTGGCGCTGGAGTTCTGAGGCCAGATTCATAAAAAACCTCTTACCTACGACAACTTAGCTACGAAGTTCGTAAAGTTACGATCATCGTAAGATGGGGCGAGAACGTTATTCACAAACGCGTTCTTAAGTGAGAGGAGGAAAGTTACGACCCCTTACGGAGAAACGATGACTTCCGGAGCTGTTGCTATGGCAACGGCGTCTTCGGCAAAACGAACAACCATTTAGAGAGCTAGGCATAGTTCGGATCACATGTATTTTTACTATCAAACACAGGCTAACCACTCGTTGATAGACAACTCTGTGTATGTCCTGTCCTGTCTGTGTGTAAATGTTTAGTGTTCAAGCTGATTCTCATAAACACGGGCGACCTTTCCACCACCGCTTGTCTGGGGTTCGAGTCCGTGCAGTGGTATATCGACGCTAACACGATTTAAACGCTTCGTTCACTGCTACAAACTCGATCGCTACGAAGTCAACACAACTGTCATCGTTGGTAAAAGCCCCGTGCCAGTCGTTTGCAAAGCGACGTAGGAGGAAACAAACCGCCGCGGCGTTTCTCGCGGCCTCGGAAATGCAGGAGTGAGCCGACGTTAAAAAAAGATTCGTTTGAACTACGAGAGTGTCAGCAAGAGTCACGCAAGTAACCAACAATTTCTTAATCCGAAAACGATCAACTGACCAAGGCGAGCGTGGGGTGCTATGTTGCGCTTTTTGCACTCCCAGGAGACTTGGAAGAGGGAAGTGACGTCAACGACTAGAGCAAACGCAGATTGGATGTTGACAGAAGAAAACGAAATCAACACCCAATCTGCGTTTGCTGTGTCGTTGACGTCACTTCCCTCTCCCTAGTCTCCTGGGAGTGCAAAAAGCGCAACATAGCCCCCCAGGGGGGCTATGTTGCGCTTTTTGCGTTTGATCGAAGTGCTGGATTCAGACTGCGTTTCGGTAAGCGCTTCGGGACCGATCTTCTACGATTGCAACTCGATACTGACGTGACACTCGGCAAAGAAAGGTTGGACCGGCATCGCGTAGCTCCCACAAACTGATATAGCTCGACAGTTAAAAATGGCATACTAATAACAAAGTGTACATACCGTGCTGCGAAGGTAATCCATACGACGTTTATTTGAGCTTTATATCACACAAAACAAGGAGATAGAATCGAGGAGTCCCTTTTCGACGACAGCGTTCGTCACCGCTGCCTCGGAAAACAAGGTGATCGAGATGATAAGGGGAATCGGTTGACCTCTGAATTTTAGTTCAGCTATCAAACTATTCATACGGGGAGGGTCCACAAGGGTCGCGCGGGCATATTCCATTCAGCAAGCCAGCCGGTCATGGGCAGACGGTCTTGGCCAAGGACCATCTGAGCAATGCTGCGCCGGAACGGGTCGGAGTGCCTGCTAGGCCTATATATTCTGCCGAGCTCGCTGGTCGGTGGGATCGTTGATTTTCAGGGTGTCTGTGGATCCAGCGTTCATGTTCGTCGTGGTCGGTTTCAAGCACTTCTTCATTTTTTTCCTGCTGCTTGAAGTCGGGACGCGCAAGAAGAGCAGGTAGAAAAATAAATGTCCGTTGGTCGTCGCGACCGAGCAACTGAGCGACGTTGTCGGCCATGTTAATTTGATCGTAGAAAGTGCATAAGACAGCTTTGGAGCTGTCGTAGGATTCTGTCGTAACCTGCGCAAAAGTTACGACAATTTTGTTTCGAGAATACGGATTTTCTCTCAAATTTGTCGTACGTATTTTTTTCGTCGTAAGTTCGCTTTGAGGATCATGGCCTCTGTGCCTTAGGAGAATTAATGGCACGTGTGCGATGAACGAAGAAGACGGCGAGGGTGACGCGGTCCGCTTCTCCAAAAAATGTAGCACCGTAAAACTTCTACATTTGGGGCACTTCTACATTTGAGAAAAAACGCTTGAATTGCGTTCATTTGGCCTTTAGATTCACAGATATCAAAATTGTATTTCAATGCGACGCGCCGGAGAGCCATACGAGCAATTTCAAAATAGGACTGAAGCCCCGCCTTCCTAGCCTTGGGCAGCCAAAAGAGCCGTCGATGACGTCACGGACAGCGGCTGTCTTTCGCGTTTTTCTCGCGTTTAACAATACTTACGCAGCAAATGGTTTGGGTTTTCTGGTTCACGGGGTAAAAATACACTAGAATTCACTTCTAACTCATTTTTTCCAAGAAACTCCGTAGCTTCCCTTTAAGCCTGCAGCCCAAGTGATAGCATTGCTGAACGATGTGTCAGTACTGGGGGGGGAGTCGATATTAATGAAATAATCTCCCTCAAAACACGCGAATATTTCAAGTAGAGGATAGCACACACTCTAGAGCATTAGTCCAAAGGCAGAACTACAATTTACTATACTTTGTTTCACCTTATGTTGTACCGCAGCGAAGGCTAGAAGCGCGAGCTCATAGCGTTGGAAGCTGCTCTTAATTCACGAGAGCTTGTGCCGCCGAGATGTGCCCCAGAGCAAGGAGCTCGCGCTTGTAGCCTTTCCTGCGGTACATCATAAGGTGAAACAACATTAGCAGTTGTTTCGCACCGCGAAAAGCTCCAGTCAAACCACAGTAGTAAGCGCCGAACAGCGCTGATGATGGGGCTGACGGGGGCGCGCTCCTAGGGCACAGAACAGCAGCGCCATGGTGTCGTCTACGCGCAAAATCTTCACAAAGCGGCCGCCGCTCTTGCCACTACAACCCCCTCTAGAACACTGTAATAGGACAATAGACCCTTTCACAACTTCAGCTTCAGTGTCATCAATAGTAGCTCAAGTATCAGTCTAAATTTGTGTATATATGCTAATGGTGGAATTAAAATCTAGTACCTGTTAGTCAACCGCGGGCGTACGAAAGTGATGGTGTTCTTCGCTTTACAGTGATTTCTCCATTTGTTTCAGTTTCGATGGTGTCAAAAATACTACCACTCTGTTAATTCGCTTTGTTGAGTAAAATGCTCGATGAAATCCTTTACATTTCATCGTCATGAGCTGCCTGGGACGAGCCGAGGCTGAACATTCCAGGGATTTACATGACACCCTCAAAAAAGTGGCACATAGAAGCTAACAAGACTCGTCGCCACGGTGACATCGAACAACTATAGACGCTTTACACACGCGCCAAATTACAGCCGCCATTGCTGACCTTCTCTTGTCTTACCGAGATGCCGAGCAACTGAAACGGTAGTTGCCGATCCTCTACAAAGGCCGCTGCTTTAGAAAAGGACCCAGTTGAATCTAATGTGGCAATAATCTGACCTGCTATGGTAATGATGAAGTGAAATAAACGAAATAAGAGTAAACAAAAAGTGAAGGTCAGTTATGGCGGCGTCCATGCACAGCTGCTGCAAAGCGTCAATAGCGAACTAACGTCTGGAATGTTCAGGCTCCGCATTGGAGGGGGTGACGGATGTAGCCGGAGCGCTGGGGTTTGCAGATGAGAATGGAAGAATGTATGATAAGTACATTGTAATAACAAAGAGGAGATTGGAAGACTGGTGGATCTTAGGGGGAACTGAATGACGTGCAACTATAACTGACACAGCTTTGCAGTGGCGTAGGCAGAGGGGAAGGTTTGGAGGGTCAAACCCCCCCCCCTCCCCCCCCCCCCCCCCCCCCCCCCCCCGGGAACCGCTGGCGCCCCTGCACACGCAGTCGGTTTTGCATGGAGCAAAGGGGGAGGCCGACTATCTCCGGACTCCAACTTAGGAAACGTGTTTGTGGGGTAGAAAATGCTCAAATAAATAAAATAGGCAATATTCCTTCGTTCACGTTTATTTGATGGGATGCGGAACTTGATCTCAGATATATAGAGAACGGATATTTCGAAACGCTTGTGGGGCGAAAGATGGCAATTTCAAGGCCAAGTAAAACCAACTATCCTCAGTAAAATACACAGTCCAATCAAATCGACGCAAACTTAATAAAACAAACACATGGTGATAATATAAAACCGTGTCAGTGATGTAAGTAATATTAAATTAATTGTAAAAATAACAGCACTGTAAGCAGCGGGTGGCGCTGCGCTCACACACACCTGGAGTACTGATCAGAATTACGTGCTTTCGACTAAAATTAATAATAAAGAGTTTATTTCCCTCCTACGTTCATGGTGGCGACCAAGGAAAAAAGCTGTATGGCAGAATTTGACGAGTCGACAGAAAAAAGAAACATTCACAAATCTTGATTACCGCAGTTTACAAACAAATCGTGTTTCGAACATATATTTTATCATCGG